TGCAAAAACATTTTTAAAAAACGTTGTACAGCAAGCAATATGAAAATCAGCTCAGACACAGATATAAATGTTATGAAGTTATTTCTGACTTTTGATTTTCATAATTGGCATTGACTTCCTTTTGGCAAGATGGTAGGGGAGCCGACTGCCATAGTCTAGGGCACGGATGAAAGAATAGATGTTTAGCAATGTAAAGAAACTTTGCGGCATGGAGACATCAAAACCTTAGTGAAAGTTCTCTCAAGAGACTTGTGGAAGGAGTAGAGGGGTAAAAGACCTTTAGATTCAGTCCCCGGGGGTGTTCTTCAAAATGGGACAGCGTTAGGAAAACGTCATACTCGTAAGAGAGAATTCGCATGGCAGTATAGCTATCACACTGGTATTGTTACACTCACAAGACGTAAAATTCATTAATTTAATTAATACCTTTGGAATAGGGTTTAAGCCGCAGATAATCTGAGAGGGGTAAATTTGCGCATGCGCGAACGCGCAAATGACACAGCTTAATTATCGACCGGGTGTCAGTTCATATGTATTTCGTTGTGACTACTTGTTCTTATACGATGATGTTATACATTTGAAACATTAGGACATGAAGACAAAATCTTTATGCCAGTTCCAGCGACATAGCAGTATCCGGTTTCTTATCAACGTAATCATGCCAGTTGTGACCAAAAAATCTCTCGTCTGAACTCTTCCTGAGGTACCTAAGGCTCCTCTAACGACGATCGCATATATCTCTTTGCCACCATAAATTAATAGAACTGATCCAGAGATCCTCTGAGATCAGTAGGATTAGAAACAGCAACATAATTTATTCTGAATGTTCTGCCGTTTTAAACACCTGGTCCGCGTTTTCTCTGTGAGTTAAAACTGATAATTAGTTAATTTTAATTTTGATCTAAATCTCTTAGTGGTAAATTCTGCATTTACAGCATTTAGTTGTTAGACAGAGGTATAGCACAATTATTCCAAGTACTAACTCCAAGCAGAGTTACTGGCTAAAACTTTAATTTGTGCACTTGACCTCTAGAACCAAGTTTCTTAAACCACAGTTTCCGATAATAATGGTTTAGTTATTTTATTATATAACTTGTAATATATTTGATTTAGGTAATACTTTGCAACACATCCAGACAGCCTTGTTTTCCTGATAGGCCGTTAAGTATACCATATACTTAATATTCTTGGTTTGTCGATTTACTAGCAATTTCTCAGTATCTTCTACACTCCATATCTACCAGGAATGTTTTTTTCGTGTTTGCCCTCAGTACAAGTGATTTCGTAATAACACCAGTGTTTACTTAAAACTGGCATTCAAGGTTTGAAGTTACTCTTTATTGCTTTGCCTAAAATTCTGTTTCTTATCCCATATTAGGAAACACTGAGCTGTACGTTAATTATGCCTGCTTCAGGAGCGTACGTTTGTGTTGAATAATTATGCACGTGGGTGACGAGTGTCATCCACCTATTGAAATATATCTAGACTAAGGAAAATTATTTTTGTGCTGCTGCGGTCACACCAACATTAAACACCAACATTTTAATAATTAACTTTCAACTATTAAAATGTGCGACTCTGAAAATCAACACATAGTATTAAAAACTTACGACAAATATCACTGCGGAACACCTATCACCAATGTCCACAATGTAGGTTAATAAGACTTTAAAAGAAAAAAAGAGGTTAGATTTTTTTTTCATTATATTTTTAGATTATAAAATAATGCAATATGTAATCATATATATTGTTCATGTTACTTACGTCACTCAGGTGACATACATAATGCTAAACATTATGAAATTTTTAAATACAAATTTACATTTTTCAATGACTTAAATTATTTCTATTTTTCATCTTAGTAATTGCTTTAATGTAAAATTCTATAGTAATAAATTCATATATTTTTAGAAAACTGATTAAGTTAATGAACGTGATTAGTTAATGAACTAATGATTTAGTTAATGACTAATAACTAAATCATAACTAATGATTTAGTTAATGAACTGATTTAGTTCTGCAACTTTTTGGTTTCTTATTTTAACTTGTCACATTCAGTAAGCTGTGGAAGATGATCGGATGTTTCAAGTTCAAAAGTGAACTGACTAGCAGGATCAAAGAAATTCATTATTGAAAGAACTTTATTTAAATCATTTTTCTACCGTCAGACAGGATAAAGATGTTGTCAACGTAGTAGAACCACACAGGGAAGTTTAAAGTTCCAAATAATTTTGATTCATAATAACGATTTATTAGCAAGGATAGAACTAAGAGGGGTTTCGTATGGCTAATTCCACGGTTGTACTACTTATTTTGAAATACAAAATGTGTTTGTTTCAGAGAGAGTAAGGGAAATTAACTTATTAGTTTTGATAAATGAGAAAAGAAATTCTCGAAGTCTCATTTCTGGATATTCAAGTGCACCTTCCACCAGAACACTAGTGAATAATGACTTTCATCAAAAGAAATCATAGTGAAATACTTTTACCTTTTTTATAAATTCTATTGATTTTTTATAGTGCAAGTGTCATTAACTAACACAGCCGAATACCTAGAAACTAAATATTCAACGAAGTACGAGGCAGAACCTAAATTTAGTGCAATAGGACAAAATGCAATACCACTTTTAGGAATTTTGGATAGTAATGCATATAGTATGGCACATTTACGCAAAAGAAAGGATAAGAGATTTTTTGATCGAAAGGATTTAAGATTTAATCGCAGTTTTTATTTCTGAGAGGTCCGAAGGGTGAAGGGCCTTTAGGGATCTGGTCATATGGGCCTTCGTTTAAGAGTTTATCGATTCCATCGTTGTAAATAGTTCCGTTCATGACGACTATTTGGCCACGTTTGTTGGCCTTCGATATCATAACATCTGGAAATTTCCCGCAATGTAGGTTTTTCTCTCATATTTACATTAGGTTTCAGAGATTTATTGTTACATTTCACATTATAATTGATAACATACCTAATTATTTCTTGGTGTATTTGAAATTTCATTACATTTGAAAGCTTCCCTTTCGCTTCTTTATTTTACAGAAATTTTCATAAAAATTTTATCCATATTATTTCACACTTCGATTAACATTAATTATATAGGGAATGTTGATGCATTTATTCCCTTTATGACTCTCTTCTTTAGGAGCGAAACTCATTTTCTCTTAAAGAAGAGAGACCTATGTATGAAGGCTACCTAAATTTCCAAAGTTTTATTCAAAATCCCTGCCAACCAAAGATTGCTTATTTGTTTAATTTTAAATTTTACACTGGTGTGATTCGCTTCTAACTAGGTATAGAACTACTCATTTTGATTGATGTGTGACTGCTATCTACAGCTGTTTCACTTAGTACTTCAGCATCACTTTAATATGTATTTGTATGCACAAAAGTCATACTCATATTCAATTCATAATCTCTCATCAGTTTCTATTGATTCAAGCTTACTTCGAAAGCCACCGGTCTCGAAAATTTTCTATGTGCTGATTCTTTTGTAAGTACCTTTCTTGCCAAAAATTGGCACTACCTAATTAAAGCGGCCACCACGCTTAGTAGCCAAATTTGCGCTCCTCGTTGCCAAATTGAATCTCTCTGTCCGTAACATGCAATTCAATTGTCTCCAAAATCTTAAGCTGTGGTCGCTTTAACAAGGAAGTGTCCAATATTCTTTAGATTTATTCCCAACATGCTTGTGTGCCAATCAGTAACAAGCAATAAGCCTCTAAATTAGATTTATGCTCTTGTAGCTTCAAATATCGCAACATTTACTTTACACCCTGTATAACATTTACAGTACACCCTACAGGAGCAGGAAAAAAGTATTTAAATGAACTGACTTTATATATTGTGTAGAGACATTAGGTATTTTTTTTAAAGCAGGAAGGATGAAAAATGAGCAACGCCCTCGACGGGAATCGAACCCCGGACCTCTGGAATACGCGCCCAGCGTGCGGACCACTACATTACGAAGGCGTTCTAAGAAGGCGGAAGAAATACCTTATATACTCCCCCTTTTAAAGAGCGACTGGGGTTTTTAGGGGACCCAATCGCCAAGTCCTGGGTGTGTAGAACCATCATCCACAACCCTTTTAGTTCGGGCGTCACTGTAGAGGCATTAGGTATTTTGGGGAAACAGGAAAGATGAAAAATGAGCAATGCTGTCCCCGGGAAACGAACCACGGACCTCTGAAATACGCCCCAAGCGTGCAGATCACTACACTACAAAGGCATGCTAAGAAGGCGGGCGAAATAACTCATAATTGTAAATTGTAAGCAGAGTTTTGAAGATATTTTTAAACTTGTTAGGGATTTCTGATTTCTAACTAACCAAATAATTACACAATAAAAAACTAAATAATCAAAACTTGCAAATTTTATGCGAATGAAACCATATTCGGATATTTATTGCATTCTTAGTTCCTAAGGCCCATATCACACGCCGTCTGTTTCACACGAATAACTGTTTCAATAGAATTTTCTGCCTGGTTTATTACTGAAAGAAAGACGTGCGAATTTTCCCTTCCTTTCCAAAAAAATTGCAAGTTGTTCGTTTTCAACCAATCAGCTATCAGCTTCGAATGCTATCAGCTTGTTTGTAATGGGAAATCAGTTTCGCCTGTGTTAAACCCAAAGCGATCTATGGTGATTGGCTGTTGTGACAAAGCAGAAAAATTGTTCCAAACAGTTGTTCTTTCGAAACAAACCGACGTGTGATAGCAGCCTAAGCCTCATAGTATCGCTTTGCTCTCAACTAATACGCTTATAAAATTTTAAGTAACGCAAAGTATATTTGAACATTTCTTTAGTAGTAGTTCTGATATGCTTGAACGTAATTAAATAACTCAGACTAATTCACTGTGACACCATTAATTTTGTTAGCACTTTGCCTTAAAAAACTGCAGTATAAATTCAAATATTTACAATTTAAAAATTTCTAATTCACTAGGCCTTTTTAAATAGCCTGTTGACTTAAGAACAATAAACTATTATAAAGTTATAAGGTTAAATCCTAATTTATACAAAATTTATTAACCTGATTACAGTTTCGATGTAAAATAAAAGATTGATCGCACATTTTGTCATTTCTTCGCTGATTAGCTAATATACAGAGCAAATTTCTATCTTTCTTTCAAAACTGTTCAATCCGAATTAAAATTTATGAAATCAGAATGTCAGTAGAGTCAAATTTCTTTTAATTTTCAGCGCAGCTAAAATACTGTCTAAACACTTTCATCATATTTAGGTTTTACTACTATCATCTTTCTTGTTTTGATTAACTGAATCACATTCTTTACTTACCAATTTTTCGTTTTTTGATTTATCTGAAGCTGCGCTACTGGAATTTACGTCATTTTCTGTTGAAGGTTCAATCTTGTCATTATCTTTCCTCAGAATATTATTTGAAATTGAATCCATAATTTGTGTTGAATCTTTGGATTCGGTATTTAAAGTTTGGTATTTACATTTCTGTGAATTACTGTTACTCTGAGATAAGTTATTATTCTGTTGCATTTCATTAGACAGTATATTACTTTCTGTAGTTGTATTCTCAGTAACAGCCGATTCATTAGCATAACAATATTCTGCAGGAATACTTGAAATTGAAAAATTTGGAACTTCAGATTCTGCAGTTTGATCGTTATATGGCTTTTCTTTTCTACATTCTTCAGCATTTAGACTAGAGTTCTGAAGTAAGGTTGAATTGTTTGTATTCTGATTCGAAAAGATACTGTCTGGTCTGCTTGTCTCTGAATCATATCCAGTTTCTTTTCCGTTATTTACTGGAGTCTGGGCGATATCCTGGTGTATATTCATAGACTCATCAACAGAAGATTGATCATCAGTTTCGCTGTCAGCGCGTTGAGGCGTCCGTGTTATAATGGCAACTGCAGATGGCATAAAAATACCACCAAAGTCGTTGCCTTGATTTGAACTTCCTCCACCAAAAATTGAAGAAAGTATGTTCTGTAAAATTGATATACTACCTTGGACACCAGATTGATTTTCTGAAACTGAAAGGTTATTTCTGTATTGTTCATTCTCCGGTTCCAAATCCAAGGCTTTTCGATAACACCAGGCTGCTCTACGATGCTTGTTCATCATAGCATAAGCTTGCCCCATTCTTGCATATGCTTTAGCATAGTCAGGGTTCAGTGTAAGAGCGAATCTACAGTCTTCCACAGCATCGAAAAAATTCCTAAGCTCAATTCTGGCTCCTGCTCGATTGCAGTAGTAAATTGCGTTCCACTTGTCTAGCTCTATAGCTCTGGTATACAAATCAACAGCTTCCTGGAACTGGCCTTGTACCACTTTCCTATTCCCTTCGATTTTGCACTCATCAGCTTCTAGTTTAGCTTTAACAGGAACAGGATTGGCCACTTGAGCAAACATATCTTGAAGCGGTCTGGAAAATCGCAGTAATGTGTAATCATTGTTTTCTAAGCCATACGCCATTTCTAAGCATTCTATGGCTATTTCTAAGCTATCTCTGTCTTCAGGAGTCATGTCCTCTCTGCTCTGCAACTGCTCTCTAAGGAAATCTGTTATGGCCACGACAAGTCTTCTGGAATCATCTTCATCTGACATCACATAAAAGATGTAAATATTTGCCTGATATCAGTGAGTTAGTTTAACACGTACAATTATATGTCTTTCGCGCAATTTCAGTGAATTTTGAAATGCTAAGTTTTATTGCCATCTGAAATCTTTCAAGGTTAAAAATAATCAAATATTAGAGTACGTGCAACTTGTGTAAAAGATTTTAAGCTGAATTAGAGTACCTGGTTCTCGTGGAAGAATATTGGATTTGAAATAAATAGTCATAAGATTTAGTTTTGATTTCTCTCAATTACACTGATAAATTTGTTTATTTATTTTCGGCCTCTCGTTTCTAAACTATAAAAGTATTACCATGAGATTTTAAAACAAGAGATTACAGAAGAATATTAAAGTTAGATTCTGTAACTATTTTGATAGCTTGCTTCGTATCTTTGCAGTGTAATGAAAATAGAAATGGCACAATGAAATATTTAGTAAAATCTGGGAAAACAACAAACTAATGTACGAACAACTGCAGACATTTGAAAAGTACTTGAATTAGTAAAGGTCGTTCTTTATTATTTCATGTGCACGCTTTTTCGTGGTTTTTCTTGAACTCAAGTCATTTTATTTATAATTCTTTAATAATGAGGAAGCTGTTTGGTCAGTGTCTAATTTAACTGTATGAAACAGACTTCAAAAAGATCCACCAGCGGCCGAACGCTAAAGGCACTGACTACCAGTAATTTGACCTGGGCTAAAACCCAATTTGGGACTAAAACCCAATTTGGGACTAAAACTCAATTTGGGACTAACGTCTCTTTTGCGCTAATATACATTCTAAATGATATTTTACACGAATTTCATGCAAGACAACTTGAATCATTAGTAATTCGGTTCTTCATTTTTAAGAATGCTAATCTTCCGGTATTTACTATGTGCAATAAAAAAACAAAATGTACTATCTAAATTTTTTATGCTTATTTGATGCAAAGAAACTTGTACCATTTGTAATTTTGGTTTTTCATTTCTAATAGTTATTTTACTTCCGGTATTTAAATGCGCAATACAAATGTTCTAACTTCTCATAATTTTTTTTTTTTTTTTTCAGGTCGGAAAATGCTAATGTTTTAGGCAGTAAAAACAGTTTTAAAATAAAAGCAAAATTTCTAGTATCACTCACTCGCTTTCGATTTTATTTTTTAATCCCGTTTCCTTTCATAAGACGAGTAAGTAATATTAATAATTTATATGTTTTTATTTTGTCTATTTGTTTTTTATTTTAGATGTCTTGAAAATGCCATGAAAAATTTTATTTAAGCGTAAAATGTTTTGTATAAATAAATTAATTTTCGCTTTTTAATTCTGAGGAGACCTTGTTATATTGCAAGGTCGGTAAAATTCTAGTATACTCTACGGCCTTGGCGCGATTTTGAAAACTGCCGTCAACACCAAAATGATTCGCTTACTGCTCATCATAAATACCGCTTTTACTAATTATCAGAATGTCGCCAAAAGTCGCCAAATCCTGTGTGCCATATACTAGGATTAAACCACAAGTTCTTTTAAATGTGTTTCTATTTATATATACTATATAACGAGTGGCCATAATTAAACTGACAGTGCTCACAGTGTTCTGTAGCGCGATCTATTTGCGAGAATGACGCCACATTTTGTAGGAAGATTAAACAAGATGGCGGACGAAGGATTCCGCGATAAAACAAATTAGTTCCAAACGTCACCGCTAGGGGAATATTTGGCGCTGTGTAATAGAAAATAGAGTGTTAACAAATGCAAATTAATACGGAATAAAATTACCTTTTATTATGCACATTTTCTGATTTAGTTCAAGTGCAATATGGCAAAACTTTTAAAAAAGAGATTTTAAAAAGCGATAAAAGACAATGCCTGGTTGAAATCATTTTCATGCAAGATGGAGCCCGTTCACATGTTGCTGTATGGGTGCAACAGATGCTACGACAGAAATTCGCAACAAAGAGTCATTAGCCGCTACTTTCCAACTGCATGGCCACCTCGGTCGCCTGATCTTACCCCATGCGACTTCTGGCTATGGGGTTACCTTAAGTCCAAGGTCTATCAAGGAGCGGTCCAAGACCTGGCTACGTTGAAGGATAACATATCACGGACTGTACGGGAGATTCCTGCAGACATGTTACTTTCTGCTGTTGTGCATACTGTGCACAGAATGCAATATGTAGTCCACAACAACGGCAGCCACATTGAACCTCATTTGAATGCAAAATAAAAGGTAATTTCCGTATTGATTTGCATTTGTTAATACTCTCATTTTCTATTACACAGCGCCAAATATTCTCCTAGCGATGACTTTTGGAACTAATTTGTTTTTTCGCGGAATCCTTCGTCCCCCGTCTTGTTTAATCTTCCTACAAAATGTGGCGTCATTCTCGCAAATAGATCGCACTACAAAACACTGTGAGCACTGTCAGTTTAATTATGGCCACCCGGTATATTATTTTGGTTTGCAGATATTTAGTTACAGCGATAGTAGAATATCGTCCTTATATTTAATTTTATTTCTCATTTCCTACATTTAATATTCAATTCACTTAATGCTATTTAACATGAAGCACAATTTTCCCTTTTGTAATCGCATTATCTTAGTAAATATAATTTTCTCGTACATAGCCTTATGATTAAATAATCTGAAGGAAGACTTGTGAATTTTTAAAATCAAGATTAGATAAGTTACAACAAAGATTTTCTGATAGTTATTCAATTTCGTTAACAAGAGTGTTGGACAACTCATTACTTAATTTAATAGAATGGAAAATAGGATGTTTTTCTTATTTAGGGATGAAACTAAGTCAGGAATACTAATAATATTTATATAGTCACATTTTACTCCAAAGGAGCATTAGTTCAGATGGGCTAGTAGTCTCAAAACTGCATTTTGTGGCCTTTCACTATAAATGGCGAATACGTTTTCAAATTGTTGCCACCAAATATTATCCCCCTGCATCATATTTAAAGAAATGAAATAATGAAGAGTCTACATGAATGTATGTATGTTCCTCGCACTGTAAAAAGCGAACAATATCTATAGGAAGGAATTCTAAAGATATCGGAAATTTTAAAGATATGCTGTTTTTAAATATTTTGAGATATCGCTGTTAAATTGAATTTTATGTGTTTTAAGTGAGAAGAATATGGTATTTAATAAATAAAGATAACACACAAAACGTTAAAAATACGCTCCCTTGGACGTAATATAAAATCTGGAACCTTTCATTTAAAAAAAAAAAAATTATTTATTTATTTTTTTGAATTTTGAACTAGATTGATTTTAGTTTGTGCTGTTACTTGTTAAAAATAATTTATTTCTTCTTACACTAATTTTACTATACTCCCGACTTTTACAAGGGAAATTGAATTCTTTAAATCAACTCAATTACATTCTTCAAAGGAATTTAAATGTAATGGAAAGAAAATTTTTAATCATTAAATTTATTCTAAAAAGCAATGACTAGTAAACTACCATTTAAATACCGTCAATTTTTTTCTATTTTAATTTATTCAACAATGGAAATTCATTAAGAATCTAAAGGAAATTTTTTGAGAATATAATTAAATAAAATTCGACATTAAAGAAGGGAGATAATTTTTACCTTATTTAAAATGCAAGAATTTATTATTAAGCAAGTAGTAAAGCAACAAAACATTAACCTTTTCGAGTCTACTTGGCTTTTATACTTAATAGCGTAATTCCTTTTCTCTCTAATGGTATTTAACTGATAATAATTACAATTTTTAAATGAAAATAATTGCTTTAAATCAATAGGTATACATCTGAGTTTGGGAAAAATATATTAAGCATAAATGTACTAACAACAATGCCTGCGCATAATATTTAAGCAACTTCACATTTTTAAACCAATGCTTTTACTCGTGAATGCTTTCTTTCCACTTATTAGAAACTAAAATCTATCTTTAATTAATTAATAACTAATGAAGATAACCAGGAATTAAACCTTGTTATCTTCATTAGTTAATAATTAATACCATTTTCAAAATCAAACTGTTTCAAAATACCATTTTTATTTGGTATCTACTAGTTCTTTTTTATTTCGTTGAACTATCTGCTACTGGTAAAAATTAATTAATTGGAATTTGAAATACATTCCTAGCAGGAAGAATAAAACTATTAAAGGCGCAGAGAAGAAATAAAAAAATAACTGTCTTATGTATTAATTTCCTTTCTGTACTGCTTACAAATAATAAAATTGCTCCGTGAATTTAAATGTTTCCTGCATTAAAATGTTTCGTGTTTCAAAAGAATCAGTTCATTAAATGATATTTTAAAAATTAATTACTTGAATCAACGGTTATTCCTTTTCTCATTAAACGTTCTTATATGTTTCATGTGCTAACACATTTTAGTCATTTAAGTAACTTTGTAAAAGGTTTATTGGTGAAATAAAGGTTTCAAAATTTAACTAAAACTTTTCTTTCATCTTTCATTATACTTCCCAATTTCGTTTCCTGAAAAATGCATTTCTATGAATTAATTACACTTCTACCCCCTCAGAAAACGGAAGGAGCTGTATGTAAACCCAACAAAGTATTTTCTCTATATAATCCCGCGGTACAATTACAGGTATAAAGATTATACAGTTCTTAGTTAATCTTCTTAAATTTGTTTTTAATTTGATTTCAGAATTGTTGTAATAATTGTTTTCAATATGTGAACATCATTTTTTGGAATTCCACATAAATATTAATCTTTCAACTTTACGTAAGAATTTTAATTCTATTCCTACTCCAAAATGTTTAAATTCCTTTTTTATCAGTTTTGCTAAGTAGATGGCGTTGTATGTACGGCTTTCTCTTTTATTTCACTTGCTCTGCTTTATTATGCTGATATACTATTTTCTGCAAAATGGCGTATGATGTTTCACTATTTAAGGGACCAGTTACCAATATCAGACTGTACTGAAGTTTATCCCATAAAATTAATATCGTTCTATAAGAAATTTTCTCCTTTTCATGATGTAATTCAAACTGCATCCGGCGGACAGTCGAGAAATGTGGAGTTCGAGCTCCGAGGGCAAAATAGAGCTCATTTTTCATGTTTC